TACACACAGTGCTCCCCATACAAACACTGCACCCCAATACACGCAGTGCTCCCCCACACAAACATTACACCCTCACACACTTCTCCCCAACACACTACACCCCATACACACAGTGCACCCCCACACAGACACTGCACCCCCACACACGTCTCCCCCCCACACACACTGCACCCACATACACACAGTGCTCCCACACACAAACACTGCACCCCATACACACACTTTCCCAACTGCACTCCCATACACACACTGCCCCCACTACACCTTCATACACACACTGGCCCCATACACACAGTGCTTCCACTGCACCCCACATATACACACTGCGCTCCCATGCACACACTACACCCCTCACACAAACACACTCTGCCCCTCCTACACACAGTGCTCCCACTGCACCCCTATACACACACTGGCCCACATGCACTGCCTCCCGTACACACACACACTCTGCACCCCTCACACACTGTCTCCCATACCCACCATGCATCCTTCACACACTCAGTGCCTCCCATACACACACACACACACACACACACACACTGCCTCTCTCACACACACACACACTACTAGAGGCTTTATCCCCTACTAAAGCCCCTATCCTGGCAGACCCCAGATAAATTGTCAAACTGTTCTTAAACCGTTTGACTATTTACTCTGGGAGGGCGCCACGGCACTCCTGGCACCATAACCACTACAGTGAGCTGTAGTGATTATTGTGCCTGGATTGTTTCTTTAAATAATCTATGAGTGCCCCTCCCGAGATAAGACTCTGTATCCGCCAGTGACTGGACCTGAGAGGGGACAGCAATATAAGCACGCGCATAATTACATTACCTCTCAGGTCCAGGACAAGCATAATAAAAAATACCTCAAAATATAGTTTTAGCAATAAGATATCCCTACAAGTATTATATCCCCGGATAGTCTGGGTCTGAGCGCCCAACATATGCTGAAATCACTCAGATCCTGCCACCGGGGTATAGTCGGGAGTATCAAACACCCACTTTCATATACAAATCAGAGTTCGTGAATACATTTCCAGAGTATCTGTAGTTCGAATAATGTTTTCACCGAATGCCACTTCGTTCATATAAATAGTGCCGAACATATTTGCGTATTGAAGTCTTAGCGGTGCACCGTCAAGTGTCTGATTTTAGTTCCATACACTCGACGAATAAACACCGCCGTCTGTGTTCGTGTTCCAAGATGGCCACCGCCAAGATGGCTGGGGATGTAGTGTGTTTGGGTAGATGGCAGAGCCAGCGCTACCATAAGGCGGCCACCTTAGGGCGCACAGGCCCAGGGGGCACAATCTCTGGGTGACCAGAAGGAGGAGAGCGCAATTCACATCGCTCCCCTCCTGTTGGTCACTATGTGTGAAACCGGATCCTCAACCGCGGATCTCCAGCTCAGCCACATGGATGGAGGTGCAGGGGACACAATGAAACGTACGGGGGACAGGTACTTGAGGGGAGGGGGGACAATAAAAGATACAGAAGGGGGGAACAATAATAAAAGGTTCAAGAGGGAAGTGGGGGACAATAAAATATACAGGGGACAACAATAAAGGGTACAAGGTGGGTGTGGAGGACAATAAAAGATACAGGGGAGAACCATAAAAGATACAAAAGGGGAGGGGGGGACAATAAAAGATACAGGGGACAACAATAAAAGGTACAAAATGGGAGGGGAAACACTTAAAGGTACATGAGGGGGACAATAAAAGGTACAGGAGGGGAGCAATGCAAGGGACAGGAAGGGAGGGGGAACTATGAAAAGTTCAAGAGGGGGGCAATAAAAGGTACAGGAGGTGGGGTTATGAAAGATACAGGAGGAGAGGGGAGACAATTAAAGGTACAGAAGGGGAGGGGGACAATTAAAGGTACAGGAGGGTAGGGGAGACATTGAAAGGTACAGGGTGAACATTGAAAGGCACAGGAGGGGAAGGGGGACAATGAAAAGTTCAGGAGGGGAGACAATAAAAGGTACATGGGGAACAATAAAAGGCACAGGAGGGGAGGGAGGCAATAAAATGTACAGGGGGATATTAACAGGCACAGGAAGGCTGGGGGCACACAGTGACATACAGAGAGGATGAGGGGGGACAAATACACAAAGGGGCTAGGAGGGAGAAAGAGATGCACGAAGGTGCTGGGGTAAAAAGACGCACAAATTTGTTGGGGAGAAAGAGCCACACAAAGGAGCTGGGTGGGAGAAAAAGACACAGAAAGGGGCAGATGGACAAAAGACACACAAAAGGGCTGGGGGAAGAAAGAGACAAACAAAGAAGCTTGGGGAAGTAAGAGATACACAAAGGGGGTTGTAAGAGACAATAGAGTGATAAAATACAACAAAGAGGACACACAAATGGGAAAATGGGGGCAAGACATTAAAAAAATGGGATATAAAACAGAAGAGGTAAGATAGTCAAAAGGGGGGGGTTACAAGACACACAGGTGAAGATACTTTTTTTTTTTTGCTGGGGTGGGGGCAGCAAAATGCATCTTCAACTGTGTAGTCAAAAATCCTTGCACCGGCCTTGGTAGATGATGGAATAGGTGTTGTACTGTCTGGGGAATGATCAATATTTTTAAGGTGAAAATTAAATTTTTTGGAAATAGAATAGATGGGGATACAAGTGAGACCAGAGAACAGAATAAAACCAGGGTGGCATGGTTATGTTAGCTGGTGTTCCATTATACTGCATGGAATGTATCTAAGGAGGGTTGTCAAAAGAGTTGGAACGTCTATGTCATAGAAAATGTGTTATTATCCATATAGAGAGAGAAGAAAGGCAGTCAGTGACATGTCAACAATATGTTCTAGGGGGATACAAGAGAGAGCAGGACTTAAGTGGTTATTCTGGGTGAATTTAGTGTGAAGTCCATATGAAAACCAGAGAAACGAATCATGTTACTAAAAGAGGCAATGTAGTGATATGGTACGATCACTGGGCTAAAATGTCCCAAGCATGGTGGGATTGGATGAAATCAATTATGATAATGCAGATGTGAAATTTTACTATTATTTTAGGTTGGTTGAAGGGGTAGTGTCAGAGTGCCAGGAAGAGGAGTCTTGTTTGTCAAATCACTCCCAAATTATTGCATTAAAAAATGGAGGATGGCATATTTTAGAGCCTTGGTACCATAACACTACACTGAGCTGAAGTGGTTATGATCCTTAGACTGCTACTTTAATTATTAAAACTGATCACTAGTCGCATTGAAGAGACTAAGCAATAGCTCCCTGATTGGTCACTTTCTTCAGTTTAATTTTGTTTATGCCTGTTTATGGCTTTCTTGGTTTACTGGTTAAGATTACAAGTGAACAGGACGTGTACATCTGGTCCCCTGGTCCATGACTATATGCAACCTGTTTCCCAGGGAAATTGCGGAAAAGTTCTAAAACACCTATTATTAATTTGTTAATTTTCTGTGTTTGTACATTTGTGTAGGGTATTGGTCAATGTTGTGTTATGTGTATTGATTTGTAGCCCATGCATTCACATAAATATGTGTCTGTTTGCACATTGTGTCACTGCTGTTGCATAAAACTTGCTTTTATTTTATGGCACACCCCTGCATACAACATTGTTTGTAAGGTATATCAAAACAACAGATAGCACAGAACGTCCAAAGGTAATAGGTTACACAAAGGAGTGGAAATGACAATGCATACATTTAACACTGCTAATTTAAAACATCAAGGCTCATTTATTTTGGAAACTGTGATGCATTTTGCTTTAGGGAGTAGCTTTGTCAAACCCAGTAATAGCATCAAGGTATGTGGGATTTTGTGGAAGTGGCATTAGTGTTGAGGAAAACAATGTAGAGGGTGGTTGCAGAGTGTAGACAGTAACTGGTTACTCTGTCCTGTTTTGTGTAATGCTGTGTTCTGAGATTCAATTAATAAATGTTGTAACTACTAAATTAACTAAAATGTTTAATAAGTGTGAATAAAAAAGTGTGTATGATTTTACACTGCCAAATCTTTCCTATTTTGAATGCTTTTATTGTAATTTTAAATGAGTTAAATAGATAATGCATTAGTAAAATACAAAACAATGTATAATAAATAAATAAAAGTACACTTCCTAAAGTGACATTATAGGAGTTTTGGTGTGTAGATCATGCCCCTGCATTCTCTCTGCTCAGTTCCCTGCCACTTGTGAGTTAAATCACTTTGTTTATCCAGTGAGACTGCAGAGGCATAATCTATATACCTAAACGGCTTCATTCGACTAAAGTTGTTTTGGTGACTATAGTGTCCCTTTAAGTTGTTACAAAACCAGAAATTGGCTATCGGCCAAGATATCAGACAGTTAGTCCTTTCCTTACTTCAAAAGGGAGTAAAGGAATGCTAAAGCATATTCTATAAACTCCAAAATATGTAGTTCAGCACTTGGCAGCACTTTTGTTAAGTAATAAATATGGACAAAACTACTCAGTTGACAGTTACAGTATTTCCCTACCATCCCCCCTCCTTACCCCAACCTCACCCACTCTTGTTTTCTCCTCCATTAGGTCATCTACTTCTCTCTTCGCCTTCCAAGACCCTCGGAATTAAATTTTTGAAATGAAATATACGTGCATTTCTTTCTCTATGTTTGATTATTTTTAAAGTATTTATCTTAACTTCAACAATTGGAATGGCAAAAGCAGTATATAACAAATATAAGCCAGTACCTCACTTTTATTTTTGTTTTGTTTGGGGAGGGCGGTGAATTATTGATGTGTCATATTATATGGGGAGGACTGACATAGAGATGAACGGCAACTAGGGGCCATAGTTAATTATTTGGGTGTATTTTTTTTTATTTAGGCGCCTTGCTCATTTTTTTTCTCTTTTACATAGATAAACGAGTTGTCTTTTTGAGTCGTGTTTTAATTATATTTGTGTACACAGTTAGTTTGCACAGAGTGTTTGCTGCCTGATAAATAAATGTTAAAATGGGAGTGTCTTTAAACTAATTTCACCTGAAGTGAAAGCTGCCAAGTAATAAAGTCTGTACCTCTGTAGTCATAATGTTCTTCTGGCAACTAAGGGGAAAATTAGAGCGTGACCTCTCTATGGCGTGAATCATAATATGTTGACATTGGTGCTGCTGCAATTGCGTAGTAATATTTTGTGGATATGAGAACATCTGTCATATAATGAGGACATATTTCTTCACCATAGATTGTAAGGGAAATTTTTAAGATGCTTAGAGGAGTACAGATAACTGTCTGGTAAGAAACTGGATCATTCTTCATGAGAAAGACCAGTCTACAAGTGAAGCAGGAGTCTTGGTGATTCTTCTACTTTGACAGCATTGCTCTGGCTTGGATTAATCTCTTATATGGTCCAGTAAACGCCACCACAGAATACCTTACACTAGATGTCCAAGGGAAACACAGTGCCTGTTCGGTATATCCTTACATGAGTAACTGTTATATTCACTTGGCTATTGCTGAAGGATCAAGCCCAATGAAAGAGGTTCTCTCCTTGACAAATGTGCTCTACTTTTGTAGCAGAAGTAATAATACTTTATATTCAGCTGAGTTGTCCCATCTTGTGTGTGTACATCATGATGATTTGTATTCTCTGTTTGAGCTCTCAGCACCTAGCCCAAATGGATTGCTAACTAGAGGAGGGAGCAGTATGCCCCAGATGACAGGAGGCAGGATGGTGTACAAAGCACCCTCCTCTTGCCAGAGCTGCAAGGCACTCCTGCCACAAATGTGACAGTGGGCAGGTGCAAACTCTGCCTCAGTCTTGTTAGTGACTGCATAACAGGTGTCAGGGGAGCTGCTGGGATCTCTGTATACTGATTGCACAGCTCCCTTGTGCACCCTGTACTGTTGCTGGGATGTGACACCATCCCAGCATCAGTGTAGAGCGGCAGGGACCTGGGCAATTAATACAGAGTGATCATAGCAGCATCCCACTGGAACCTACGGATGAGGTTCCACTCCAGCTCCTTTTCAAGGTAAAAAAGTGAGGCTGGGTGCGACTCAATGTGCAATAATAAAGTTTGTATTCATCTATATATATAGACTCATATAAGTTAGTCTCTCTGAATGTGTGTATGTGTGTGTCTATTAGTCTGAGTTTATAAGTCTGTATGTGTGTGTATGAGGTTACATGTATGCATATCTATGTGTGTGTATGTGTGTGTATATGAATATATGTGTGTCCAAGGTCTGTTCAGTAAGTATCCAGCCATGAAATGTGAAATATTTTGTTATTTAATGTTGAAGATACAAGAAACATTGTACATAGGACAATGACGCATCAGTCCCCTCCTAAGTAGGCACCTTGGGACCTCACTCAGTACTCCAAGCGCCTCTCCCACTGTTTAAAACACTCTGCTAAATCCTTTGGTGGATTTGCCATCAGCTGCCTCATTGTATTTACCCAAATCTCATCAACGGTCTGATTTTAGTTTTAGGAAAAGCCAGAAGTCATAGGATGTCAACTCTTCTACAGATCCTTGACCATCGCTGAAGCGACCATCATTAAGAGGACCCATCAGGTGGCCCGTGCATTAAGGGCCACCTGATGGAAATGTGTCTTCAGGGGCCCGGTCAGTGCTGCAGCCCTTTAAGACCGCATCTGGGCCCCTTTATTGATGTCACCACTGGGAGGAAGTGAAAGCCGTGTGGAAGGAAAACAGAGTAGAAGGGCGCAGACAGGGAGAGCCTCTGACTCCCAACAGCCTCAGCCTGAGTAGTGTCTGTGTATCTGTATGTGTGCCTTTGTTTGTATATGTATGAGTGTCATTGTGTTTATCTGTATGTCTGTGTATTTGCATATTTGCTGTTGTGTGTGGATGTGTATGTGTTATTGTGTGTATCTGTGTGCCTGTGTATCTGCGTGTGTCTGTGTCTGTTAATCTGTATAAATGGTAGTGTGTGTATGTGTATCTGCATGTGTGTCAGTGTGTGCACCTGTGTGTTTTGTGTATCTGTTTTTGTGTCTTTGTATCTGCATATTTGTACCTGCGTATATGTGTATCTGTGGGTCAGTGTTTGCATCTGTGTGTGTGTCCGTGTGTGTATCTGTGTATCTGCATATGTGTCTGTGTGTGTCTGTATCTCTTTGTGTGTATGTATGTGCATGTTTGTCAGTGTGTGTATGTTTATCTGTGTTCCCTCTACAGCTGCAGCTCACATTCGCGAGTCCCGCGGCCATCGGAGCGTTCCCACTGGTCACCATGGCAACGCTCCTCACAGCACGCTGGCGAGACTCGCAAGAGTTAGACAGAGCTGGAGAGGGAACACACAGTGTACTGGGTCCCTGTGTGCAGCGTCTTTCTCCCTCCACCTTACCACCGGACCACCAGGCGATCTCCTCCCTCCCTGACAAGGTAAGAAGCATGGAGGGGGGAATAAAACAAAAAAATATATACACACATAAATTGGAAAAAAAATGCTTCCCCCCCTAACACACACACACATCACACACATATCATCCAGCACACACACAAACACATCATCCAGCACACACACACATCATCCAGCGCACACACACACACATCATCCAGCGCACACACACACATGTCATCCAGAGCACACACACACACATCATTCAGCACACACATCATCCAGCACACACACACACATCATCACACATCACACACACATCTTTCAGCACACTCATCAACACACATCATCCAGCACACACACACACACTTCATCCAGCACACACACACTGCATTCATTATACACACACTGCACTCACTACATACACATTACACAATCTGCACTTACTACAAACACACTACATTCATTATACACACTCTGCACTCATTACAAACACACTACATTCACTATACACACTCGACACACACTACACACACACTACATTTACTATACACACTCACTCTGCATTCATTATACACACTCTGCACTCACTACAAACACACTAAATTCACTACACACACTGCATTCATTATTCACACTCTGCACTCACTGAAAACACACTACATTCATCATACACACTCTGCACTCACTACAAACACACTACATTTATTATAGACACTGCACTCACTACAAACACACTACATTCATTATACACACTCTGCACTCACTACAAACAAACTACATTCGTTATACACACTCTGCACTCACTACAAACACACTACATTCATTATACACACTCTCCACTCACTACAAACACAGTACATTTATTATACAGACTGCACTCACTACAAACACACTACATTTATTATACACACTGCATCACTACAAATACACTACATTTATTATACACACTCTGCACTCACTACAAACACACTATATTCATTATACATACTTTGCATTCACTACAAACACACTACATCATTATACACACCCTGCACAATATGCATAGGAGTGTAAATTATTTTTATTTTATTTTTAGGGGAAGGAGGTGGGAGGGGGCGGGAATCTTGGGTGAGTTCCCACACTTTTTTCCCCAGGACTTGACCCCTGATGTAACCTAATGTTCCATATTTACCTGTTCCCATAGTGTCTTGACTATTGATGTAGAATATTGCATATTCTATGTTTCTATTGATTATATATGGATGTGTGGATTGACATAAGTAACAGATGGTATAAGTCACAAGGCTTTCTTTGTCCGAGAGCTCTGAAATGTGGATTTGGGGGTTTTGTCCTTATATGGCTAGAGTTAAACGCTGACATTAGTATGAGCACATCTATATAGTAACAGAGGGGCACGAGGTCGCTCTCTCTTGGGTCTCTCTCTTGGCTCTTGGCTCTGGGCTCTCTCTGACTCTCTCTCTCGATGTAAAGATGTAAGGATGTAAAGAAGTCCAGCAATTACCATCTGCTGTTGAATGTCCATTATCCTGTAACATCCTTTGTTGTTTTATTATGTATCCGTAACTAAGAATAAACCTGAAGAAACCGTAAGTCAGATTGCGTATTAGTACTTTTCAATAATATAGACATATATAATTGTGGTGAGCATTATATTTGCCCCAAGACTATATATACAAAAGACGTATATATATATCAATCAACTGAAGACAAGAAGAAATTAAGAAGATTTAACAGTGACGATTCCAACCAGATTTTACATTGGCCAGCCAGCCAGTCTTCTATTCAAGTTTTGTTCCCACTTCAAGGGGGGAGAGAGAAGAATTGAGTTACAAAGCTATTTTGGAACTGGGAAAACAAAAAAAGAATCTAGATTGTCTCAGAAGAACTGTGGTTTGTAAGAAAAAGAGTTTTCAAACTAGAAAGATTGTACAAGACTATTTTCTACAAAACAAAAAGCACAAGATACAACGTGAATTCTAGAAGCAAGCACGTGGCAGAGATTGGCAATCATCCAGAGCCAAGTCCAGAACTGCGCAGCTGTGTGGATGAAGCAACGAATTAGACAGAAATAAATGATCTGGTGAGTAACATGGAATTCATAAATGATATTGCAGAGAAAAGTAAATTGCAGTTTGCATTTAATAGCAGCTATTCAGATGCTGTTTTGTGGCAATCTTTATACACACAATGTGAAATTGCCAATAAATTGTTTGTTAATTAGAAAAAACAAAAGATCAGAAATGTTATGAAACTACTCTGTACTTACAATGCATTGATTTGTAAACGAGATGCAGGTCAAGACAATTTAGAATTAGCAGAAAAAGAAGTAGATTTGAATGGGTTAACAGAAGACAAATCAGATTTAAATGAACAGTGTAACAATGTAACAGAGAGCACATGCTGTAAACAGTCAGAAACAGTCTGTGAATTGGAGGATAGATTTGAACTAAGAAATGATCTTATTTGCCAGTTTAGAAATTAAGTTAAGCTAGTGTGTGTTAATACAAGAAAAATACAGTAACTCCAATCATTTTAAAGAAGGAAAAAACAATAGATTTATTCTTTGTTGCTTCTGAGGTTGATTTAAAATCTTTGATTTAATTCATGAGAATGAGATTTTAATGCCATGACTGATAATTGTATTACTATATTTTGCAAAGCCTGGACATACATATGATTTGAATATATATAAGACAAAAGTTTTGATAGAATAAAACCTAGATTTACAAATACATTTGATGTAGGAAACAATATATGTTTTTTGTAGTTTGTTTCATGTGACAAAATGGTGCCACTGTTAAGACAAGATGGCTGCTATTGCTAAAGTATAGTGGAAAACAATATTTAGTTGTAACATCTGATATGTGATTAGGTTATACCTCTATATTATTAAACAGTTTAAAGTGGGGTATGATTAATAAGGTATGATTAATACAAAGTTTGAAAATTAAAATGTGTAGAAAGAGATTTTAATATAAAGGAAATTTAAAGATTATACATCACATGGCATAAATGCAATGACCACAAGATGGTAGATCTCATGAGAAGAAATGAGTATGTTTTGTGTAGTCAATATAATTCAATGTTAAACTGTATAATAATAATGAGATATAAACATTGTAAGCCATTGTATTGATGCTGCACATGTTTTTTGTTTTAATGTAGGTAAAGCGTGACAGATCCTTGTGGCAGTAAATCAGGAAAGTATTCCTTCAGACAACTGGATATCGACTGTTGGAAAGAGACTTTTCATCTGATCTGCAAACTGTGATGGAAGATTCTACAGAGTTCATTCGATACAGAAGATTAACAGACATACAAAGAAATAAAAGATTGGCAATAACATACATATCAATTCCTAAATATTAACGAAGAAGAAAAGAGACAATGAAAAGTTATTTAACAGTTATGAGTGTATTAATACCAAAAGAGAGTACTTATAACTATATAACACATGGAGTAAAATTATGATAGGATAGTATTATGAAAAGAACTATTATATTATGACCTATACATAGGATGAGAAGTATCAGAGGTAGATAAAATATGAAGTTGATAAAATAAGGTTCATGGTTACTTAATACTACAAAGAATGAGTGCAATAGTATTTCATAGATTCACAAGAATGAGTAATTTGTTTATATCGAGGTGAAGTTAAACAAACAATGGTAACATAAGGAAGAAAACTAAGGAAGGATAATTTATATTGATTAATATTAAGTAATTATATACATTAAGAATGCCTTGGATATAAGAGTTCAGAGATCCAAGAAGAATTGAATTGAATTGAGTTTAGTACACAATTACTGTATATTTGACCTAAGTCTATAAAGGTATGGACTAGCAAGAATAGGTTTCTGGATATGACGGTATCCAATGAATACGTTGTTTTAAGTGTTTTATGATTTCCCTGAGTTTGTTAGACACAGACTAGGAATACGTTTCTGGGCAGTATGACCCCAAGTTTTGTTTATTTTATTTTAGTCAGTTGAAGTGTACTAAGGAATACGGATTGGTCAGAACATTAGGACAATCCGGCTTTTAAGATGTATTACATTAATAAGTCATCACAATGCTAATGAGGAGAGTGATGATTAATTTATATTATTCTTTCCAAGTTCTTTTAAAGTAAACCATGTTTCTGTTGAATGAAAAATTTGTTACTACAAGGTGGAATTTTTGTGAAAATTATAATTATGTAAACAAAAACAAATCTATGATAGAAAGATTTCTGGGTGAAGAATTTCTAGGACAATAAGTATTGTCAACACCATGAACATTATTTGAAGAATTATTATAGAACTTCATGGTTGATAACACATTCTTTGAATGAGTCTTATAAGTAGTGTTGATATATTTCAGGTAGTTAGAGCCTACTGAATATACAAATTAAATACTATGATTGTAAAGTACTGATACAATTATCACTAGGTGGTATTAATGGTATAGGAATGTAATTCATGAATACAAATGACCTAAAGATTTTAAGGTTGCTAGAAACCATATGATTCATGGAAATCTAATTGGACAGGATATTATAGTAATACATGTATTAGTACTTAAGTAATATCAGGTATTGAGAATGAAAATACGATGCTATATGTATCTGTAGGAGTATGATAGTGATACACAGTTATTATTTAGAAAGTTACGATCTTGATTTTGTTGTCTACAAAGACATGACTGTACCTGAGCAAGTAGATCTTTCTGACTGCTTTACATTGTTTATTGGATCAACATTTGTAACTATTTTATTTTATTCATTTATTACTGTTATATATATGTATATATTATTTTCAATTAGTTATGATGTAACATGGATATGGATATCAATACATAGCTGAAACAGAGGGAGTTTTGAAGTAAAGTAAGCAGAATGAGGGATAGAAACTCGACCTTCCAAGAACTCTCATATAATAGAAAGTTGTGACTACATCTTGTTCTGTGCTCAATGACTGTGATACGAGTGATGGATGAATGGACAGGTTAGTGACATTGTGTTATGGTTTTAAGACAGACCATAAACAGAGGGAATGTAGACTATTGCATACTCTATGTTTCTATTGATTATATATGGATGTGTGGATTGACATAAGTAACAGATGGTATAAGTCACAAGGAATGTGGATTTGGGGGTTTTGTCCTTATATGGCTAGAGTTAAGCGCTGTCGTTAGTATGAGCTAATCTATATAGTAACAGAGGGGCACGAGGTCGCTCTCTCTTGGGTCTCTCTCTTGGCTCTTGGCTCTGGGCTCTCTCTGACTCTCTCTCTCGATGTAAAGATGTAAGGATGTAAAGAAGTCCAGCAATTATCATCTGCTGTTGAATGTCCATTATCCTGTAACATCCTTTGTTGTTTTATTATGTATCCGTAACTAAGAATAAACCTGAAGAAACCATAAGTCAGATTGCGTATTAGTACTTATAGACATATATTATTGTGGCGAGCATTATATTTGGCCCAAGACTATATATACAAAAGACGTATATATATCAATCAACTGAAGACAAGAAGAAATTAAGAAGATTTAACAGTGACGATTCCAACCATATTTTACAATTGACCCTGCAGCAAATATTTGTTTAACCCCTTAAAATCGGAGGGCGTACTATTACGCCCTATTCTAAGCGGTTCTAAACGCCACAGGGTGTAATAGTACGTCCTCCGTTTTTTTTTTACTTACCCGGTCGCCGGCAATCCCACGGCGATCGCGGTTGGGGAGATTCACCTGGGATCGCAGGGATTCCCCTGCGGCGGATCCTGCCTCCTTCGTCCCCACCCCCTGCCATGTGAGAGTGAGGACCTCACAATCACATGGCCGTGTTAGCTGGCTGCTGCCTGTAATGACAGTTAGTCCCCATGCTGGCTGGAAATGAAATAAAATAATGTTAATCAGAGTAAAAAAAAAAAAAAAATATATATATATATATATATATATATATGATCTAAGTATATATATATATATATATATATATATATACACACATACATACACACACACATACATTGTCTAGGTGTATTTTACTATTAATATATATATAATTATATATATATATTAATATCAAATTATACGTAGACTGATACTGATTAAATATATATATAATTATTGTTATATATATTTATATATAATATAAAAATATAAATATGTAAATACGTTAAAAAATAAAAATAAAAAATAATAAAAAATAAATAATTTAAAAATATATAGATGTGTGTTATTTCGTTCTAACTGTATTGTGATATTAATATATATATATGGTATGCCATTATAGGTGTAAATTTCATTCCTGGGCTACTATACAGTCTCAAAGGCAACGTAACCAATCTGGTGAATTTCAATTTCAAAAGTAATGTGCTATTTTTGACCCTGTAACTTCCCAAAACGCCATAAAACCTGTACATAGGGGGTACTGTTTTACACGTGAGACTTTGCTGAATACAAATATGTGTATTTTATTGCAGTAAAAGCAAACAGTATTATGACATTGACAGTTAAAATGTCATGTAGAACTAAAAAAATAACAAATTTTCTCCCATCTTTTTCATATTAAATTATGTTTCATAGCTAAATATTTGATATTAAATGAAAGCCCTGTTTCCCCTGAATAAAATGATATATAATAAGGGTGGGTGCATTTACTATGAAAGAGGTGAATTACGGTTGGACAGACATATAGTGCAAATGCCAGGTTTTGTTTACGTTTTGTTTTGTTCACAATGTGTACATTTGGTTAATATGTTCGACACGCCTGTTATTATACGTATATTCATATTTACAAAGCTCAACAGGCCTAGCATCTGTCCTGCACTCAAACACAAGTGTCCAGCTCTTACACGCGTTATAACTGTAATGCAAGCTACTACCAGGTTACTAGAAATAGTTCTCACATGATAATACCTGTTTTACTTAACTCATCTTACTTAAATCATCTCACTAATACACCATACGCATGTCTCACTAATCTTAATAACCAAGCTACTCAATCTGAGACACCGCAGACTAGTTACATAAGTTCTTATAAAATAAAAATTTGCAAATTTTCCATGCCACTGTTTAACCTATATACCTACGTCTATGCATAAATGTACGCTGTTATGGTGTTTGACATTGCCTTGTACTCACCTGCACAATAAAAATTAAAACAAAAAATTAAAAAAATATTTATTAAAGTAATATTTTCTTAAAATGCACATCAAATGTAGGATTGCCTGAATGCACAGGACTTTTCTAATCAATATTTAGTTTTATGAAGATAATAAATTCAGTAGAAAAATCCTATGTTAGCTTTTTGTGTGTACTGAATGGAAGGTCACGATGATAGTGACAGGACAAAGTTTAAGGCAGCATGTCACTAAGTAACAGGATTACATTCTGAGAACTGTTCTGCCAGCTATTGTTAGTTCCTTTGCAATTACTCGGAATTCAAAACAAATCATGACACAATAGTAACTGGGCTATTTTCCTAAGATCAATGATAGATATGGTTTTTTTTTGCAGTGCTTTTCCAAAGATTGCTGGGAAGGTATACAGCTGGTGAACCTTGTAATATTTTTCTTATAAGATATGTTACACTAGAAAAGATCAGCATGAATCTAACATATATAAATAAATTTTAAAAAACTATAATTTTTTTTTTGTAGCAAATTAGGATTTCTTATACCAGTACCCGGGCTCAAGGAAAAATAGCCAAGTCCCAGTGAGCTGCACTGAAGCTGTTAACAAAGCTGATAACAATGTTTACCGAAACTGCAGTGTCTGGACTCCAAAACAAGCTTGAGAGTGCCAGTATACTGCAGAAAAGAGCATCTCAGAAATGATGACAGGGTCCTGTGTTAAAGACCGTGAGAAATAGCATCTATAGGTATGTGCTGGCAGGAGTATCGTGCAGTATGGTAACTAGGAGGTGCAAACTGCAAAATGTTGCCTGGTAGATTTTGCAGGAACTGGCTTAATAACCCACAAGCTATGGGTAGAGAGGGGTTAACTACCAAAACACTGGAAATCCTAGTGTTATGGTATGTGCAGACGGGAGTATCTGCAGTATAGTAACTAGGAGGTGCAGACTGCAAAGATATTGCCTGCAGTAACTGGCTAAACAACCAACAAGCAATGGGTAGAGAGGGGTTTAACTACAAAAACACTAGGAATCCTCCTATGCTTGTGGCCCCTAAGTACTTGTGCCTTCGAGGGCACCCCCTTAGCCAAAAGCCTACAATCTCCTATGGAAATACAAATAGAAAATTTCCCACCAACACTGCTACAATAAAAGAAGTGTGCTGGAAATGCCTAGACTTTGTAGGCTGCTTCAAGTGCTGCTGGGTAACGGCCAAGCCGATGCTGAAAGAAAGCTCTAATTGGTATGGTAAGTAAAAAGGTCACTCTTAGTGCAGTGACAGGTCACTCTTAGTAAAGTGACTGGTGGAAAGCTCCAGTGATGTTTCCCCTGACGCGCGTTTCACCTCACAGGTTCATCAGAGGGGAACCGGTTTTGTGATGGAATCATGTTTTTAAATGTCTGGTGAAGTTCTCATTGGTGGATTTAAACGAATTTAACCAATGAGAATTCTACTATGCCTTAATGGGTGGGTAAGTAGTGGAGCAAAAAATTAACTCTTACATGTTTGGTAGAGATTAGTAGTAAAGATGCAAAAAATAAATAAATAAAACGTGAATGATACGAAAATATCACTGAGAGTATTAAGGCTTGTGAAATATATACTAGGCATGGTTCTTAACCAAAAAGATTTGCCTGGCGTTATCCACAAACATTGTGGAATAGAACATAAGACTTAACTGGTAGGAAACTTGAAAGAGCTATTCAAAGCTTAAACTTGCTAAATGAAAGCATAAGCATAATAGTGTTAATCAATTAACTATTTACAACCTTATGTTACAAAATAAAACTTAAGCTTAATAATGACTATTTGCAGCCATTATGTGACAGAAATGACACAATGAAAGTTTCAGCCTAATGTTGTTGAATGAAGACTAAAAAATAGTAGTGGAAAAATAACTATTTGTATAGGAAGACTACTGCTATTTACATGGGCAGCGGTGATGAGGGATTGTGGAGTGATATGTGCAGGACGGCTGGTGCTAGTGTATAAATGGAGTAAAGTTAAACTCCTCATTAAGACCTAAGGGTGTTAGGGTCTTAAGTTCATGGATCCACTTGGACTCCCTTTTGAGCAATCAGGTTAAAATCGCCTTTCCTAGTATTTGTAGTTAGTCTCTCAATCGCTTGGGAACTAAGATGTGAGGTATCGCCCTGATGTTGGGAGCGAACGTGGTTAGAGATAGGTGTACTGATGTTACAATTAGTGACGGAATTCACATGTTGTAATATACGCCTACGAAATTGTTGGTATGTCTTGCCCACATATTGGAGGTTACAGCTGCAAATGATGACATACACAATTCTGGTTGTGCTACAATTAATGAAATCCCGGATAGGGTACTGGTTGTTTGTAATCGAGCACTGTACAGATTTAGAAGTGTTAATAAATTTACACGCCTTGCATGACCCACATTTAAAAACTCCCTTAGTTTTTGATAGCCACCCTGGGGTGACACTAGGTGGTTACTGATGACTCTGAACAAGCAGATCTCTCAAGTTTTGCGGTCTCCGCACGGTGATACTCGGGTAGGTGGTAATGTTATTAGTCAGATGTTTATCATGCACAAGTTGCTGGAGAGTATTTTTCTCACCGGATCCCAATATTGGTCGAATGGCTTATGCATCTAATAACATTGTGTGTGGGTTTTGGACTTGATGTACGGAGACAGGTGGATCTATCCATCTTGATCACTTGCTGATAAGCGTGCTTCAGGATCTTGTTCGGGTAACTCTGTTTCTTAAACCTCTTCTTAAACCCTTAGGGACCAAACTTCTGGAATAAAAGGGAATTGTGACATGTCACACATGTCATGTGTCCTTAAGAGGTTAATTTCCTTGGCCTCTTTCTGAAAGGTGATGTCGTTAGAGCAGTTTCTCCTAGCCCGGAGGTATTGGCCATAAGGGATCCCTGTCTTCATTTTCATGGGATGATGACTTTTCCAATGAAGGAGGTTATTGGTAGCAGTTGTTTTTCTGAACAGTTCTGTCTCAATTGTCCCTTCCATAGTTAAGGTGATTTTAAGGTCAAGGAATTCGAGGGAGTTTTCATCGATAACTGAGGTAAGAGATAGACCAATAGCATTATTGTTGAGAGTAGTCACAAGTTCATTG